GTGAGAGTTATTTGCAGGTTCAGGACACTCACGCTTGCATTAAACTGGTTATGTTTTTCTCTGTGGTGGTACTGCAATCTCCTGGAAGTCATTCAAGCAGTCCATGGTTACTACATCTTCAAACCATTCAGAGATAATTGCTTTATATGAGACTTCAAAAGAATGTATGGTTAAGATCTTTAATCCAACATATTCGTGGGTCATGTAGAATTATAAATGATATAACCCCAAATGTCCTTTACGAGGACAATGCAGCTTGTGTTTTGCAAATGAATAATGGGTATGTCAAAGGAAACATGACAAAACATATTGCTCCAAAATTCTTTTACCCATACGAGCTTCAGAAGAGTGATGAGATTACTGTACAAAAAGTACGATCTAGCGAGAATTTGACCGATCTATTCACCAAGTCCCTTCCTACATCTACTTCTCAAAAATACATTTATGGTATTGGTATGAGTAAACTAGGAAGACTATTGTCTTCAAGGGAAGGGGCAAACTCAAAATAATGTCGAAGATAATGTCCTGAAGACCAAAGGTTGTACTCTTTTTCCCTTATTGAGGTTTTGTCCTATTCGGTTTTCCCAGCAAGGTTTGTAATGAGGCAACATGGATGGCATATTCGCATGAATAGTGTACTCTTTTTCCTTCATTAGAATTTTATACCACTGGGTTTTTCCTAATAAGGTTTTAATGAGGCATATTCATGGTATAATGAGGACTGTTGGATAATTGATATAATTCCTCATGATAGTTGTACTCTTTTTCCTTCAATCAAGTTTTATTCCCACTGGGTTTTCTTGATAATGTTTTAACGAGGCAGCACGTGGATACTCCACTAAAGATGATCTATTTGAGGGGGAGCAATGTTGTGCTTCCACAATACTCAGGTTCTTTCCCATCGGGTTTTCCTGAGGAAAAAATGTTATGATTCCAAAATGATCATGTTTCGTCCACCGGGTTTTTCCTGACATGATGAAGCAACATTACCTGATGACCACAAGATACACTTCAAGCTGTTCAGGTTGAGTGTTATTCAAATTAGTTAAAATATTTTTAGAAAATAGTCATTCAAGGGGGAGTGTTATAATACAAGTAGTTGGTGGTTCAACCACCACGAATAATTGTATTAAAATAATGGATATGAGCGACTATTTTGCCTGTGATATAACGATTGTGCCATCAAAAGTTTTTCTATAAATAAGAGCTTCAGTTATAATGAAAATCAATCAAGTGAATACATTTTCTCTATTCTCTCTAGTTTTATAACATTTTCTCTATTTTCTCTTTATTTATAGTTTTATAACAATTTCTATATTCCAAAATGACTTTCTTTATTTATCATCAAACTAATTTTTACGTACAAATTGCATAGTACAATTAATGTGAATTTATTACATAATGAGAATGTTTAAAGAAAATAAATAATTTTATTCTAGCGTTGCTAGCGGGAATCTAGACAGGCGTCTGACCTGTTCTCCCATTTTATTCTCCCGTTGGGAGCTTTGTACTTTTATTCGCACATTTGTGCGCTTTTGATTTATAATAGTTCATCTATCGTTTCGGAAAAAAAAAAAGAAAATAAATAAATGAAAGCGATGTAGGGATATCAATGTAATATAAAAATAGCATTTGGTTAAAATTTATAATTGATTAAAGTTTTTTCTCGCAAATATATATAAGAGTGAATCAATGAGTCTACTTCTTAAAATAAATACATGAGATTCAATCTTGGTTATTGATTTGTGTAGATCAATAGTTTTATTAGTCAATTGTAATACATATAAATTATACAATAAAAGTTAATTGTTATTATTATATTTAAATTAATTATATAATAAATAAATTGAATTCGATCTGTTGTTGGTGGTCGTTGACCGCAAAAAACCATGGTAAGAAGTTCTTGCTTCGCTGCAGAAACTTTCAGCCAGCGTTCTACCACAAAGTCCATCGTTGTTCTTCTCCTCGCCGTTGTCGTTGTCCCCCGCCGTTGAAGACATACGATAGCAAAAATAGTTTCTGACTTCCCCTACGAGGTCGACCCCTTCGCCCAAACTCAACTTTTCTGCTTGAAAATTTCCCCCGACTGCGCTCGATTGTTGCTATCTCCGCAATGCTTGAGACCTCCTACTTTTACTTATGAAGTTGAAAATTACAAGCCCGATGCAATTTGTACTCGAGGGGCGAAGTCGTGACGAGGCTGAGGATAGGGTTTGCACCTTCCCCCTCCTTAAAAGTCGAAACCCTAATTCCCAACTATCACAAAAGTTGAACGCGAGGAGGGAACACAGACGACAGAGGGAGCGCTTGAACGTGTGGAGGGCGGCGAAGGTGAAGAAAGCAGGGCGAGAGGAGAGGACGACGATGACTAGGTCGAATTTGGGCCTGAAAATTAGATTTGGGATAGGGGTTGAGTTTGATAATAACAAATCCTGGGAATTTGATTGCAATTTCATAAACCTATAACTGCAATTTGATCATTGGTATCAATCTTTAATCTATCTAAAGTTTGAATAATTGTACTCTGGCCCTTGACCTTTTTTATTATTTAATTAATGTATATTTAGTTTTTTTTGTGCATATTTAGATAATACAAAATTCATATTTAGTTTCATACATAATGCATACTTAGTTGAGAATAATTAGTTCAATATTGTTGTAAATTGCATATTTTGACTGCACATTTAATTTATATGAAATGCAATTTAGTTCATATGAAGTGCAAATTTAATTAATAAACAACGCATAATTAGTTGATATTATTGTTGCACATTTAGTTCATTAAAAATACCTATTCAGTTATGCATATTTAGTTCATTTCAACTGCATATTTCAAGTGAAAATTTACTTCATACACAATGCATATTTGGTTCATAAAAAAACATATTTAGCATAAAATATAGTTCAATCCGATCAATATATTTTCTATTGTTTAATTAAATTAATATATTATTTTTTAATTATATAATTAAATATAATAAATAATGTATACTTATTTCATTCATTATACATAGTTAATTCATACAAAATACATATTTAGTTCATTATAGTCCATATTTAATTCATGTGAGATCTCATCATAGCCATTTATTTGCATAGAACAATGACCTTAGTCATTGAAATTTAAATTAGTTATATTATAAAAATAATATTTATTATACTTACATTAATTATATAAAATGCACATGTAATTGTATATTTTCACTGCACATTTAATTGATGCAAATGCACAGTTAGTTCATGCGTGGTGTATATTTAGTTCATAGATGGTGCAAAATGCGTATTTATGTAAACTTTTAGTGTGAATTTACAACTAGTCAATATTAATAGTATTAATATGTTAAATAAGTTAAAATATTTCACTTAACTAGTAAAAAGTAAAATTATAGCAAAAATAATTTCTTCAAGCTATTTATTTTAATTCATATTTTATTTTTTATTTTAGCACATTAGACAATTTTTTTAAGTACCTACCTGATTTTAATGGCATGACC